CAACCAAGAGAGGTCAATCCCTCGCTGGAGTCCTGTTGTCTGGGCCAACACAGATTGACAGCCGAAAACTGGTTATAAGAAGATATGATAACCGGACAGAGTCAAGGTAGAACAGATATACATAATTAATCCATAACTATATACAGTATTATCAGTTTCTTTCGATATAAATTTTTTGAAACCACAAAAACTGCAGGCGTGTGTCTGGTGAGTTTTGATGAAAACAAGCGTTTTCTTAATTCAGTGAAGTTACTCACAATGGGTGAAGTTTCCAAAAAATTTACTCGAGTAGCGATACTTCATAATAAAATTACTCAAGTAAAAGTAAGAAGTACAGTGTAAAAACACTCCTAAAATTACTTTTTTTTATTTTTAAGTAAGTTACTACCCAACTCTGGTCCCTGGCTGCTTGTTGAACTGGGTTTAAACCTAACTTGACATTTATTTGACATAAACTAACTGTTGGACTTTGAGYCATTTATTAAATAACATTTAATTGAAGTCAAAGATCGTGTATATTTTGCCAGTGTTTGTCAGAGCTAACCACCGTTCTCTGTTGTGTTTTTCAGACTTGAGTCACCATATTAATGACAGCCCGGCACACTGCTGGTAAGTCTCTTTGATAACTGTATTTGTCACAGAGTCATGCGCTCAGACATTTTTATCTGGAAGGATCGGTTAAGCAACACGAATATAAAACTTATGTAAGAAGATAATGCAACTGTGCAACAATCAAATCAGAGAAGCAAGTAATTCAATTAAATGAGGAAACATTTATTATATAAATGTACTTTTTTTGGATTTTCTGCCAAGGCAAGCATAATAAGGGTCCTAGCAACAAGARATCTGCAGATAAACTTGTCACCACTCATCTACCAGCAGTTTCAAAGTGCTTATAATGTCTGGTGTCACACATATGTCACTGTTTCTCTGTTATCTGTGTTTCATCACGTCCGCCAGTCAGTCTTGAAACAGGTTTGTACCGAGGCTGTCGACACTGACTAAAAAGGAAAGCCTGTAGCTTTGAGTGTGTCTGCACAGTAACAGGGTCAGAGCTTCTGACAAGTGTTGAAAAACCTGAATATTTGTCTSTGTGGGAAGGTTTAAAATAAGAGCCACGTCTGCGCCCTGCAGCTTTTCACCTGCAGCGTCTCTGATGTTTACAGTTTGGGTTTTTCCTCTAATCTCCCAGCACCAAACAGATAAGGCTCTAGTCAATCTAACCAGAAACGTTTGTCTCTAAAACGATTTTCCTCCGAAAGAGTTTAAGAAATAATTAGTATAAAAAGACACATATGGTTTCTTACTCTAGAACTAGCATGCTAACAGTAAGTAACAAAAAACTGTTTTAAAGGTTAGTTAAATATTGTAAAACTGTTATTTTCGTTGTATTTTACCCAATCAGCTTCAGTCCAGAAAAGATGGTGGTGTTAAAGAAAGGTGTTCATGTATGGCTTTTTTTTTTTTTTTTTTTTTGCATAATAGAGCTTTAACCAGTAATTGTGTTTAGGACAGTGAAGTGTGTTTAAAAACAGTAATTTGTGGAAGTGTTCCTGAACTCATGCAGTGATCTGTGCTGTGGCCCCTGAGGGCCCAAAGWTCACAATGTTTTAATACTGACTTTTTATAATCCTTTGATAGTGATTTGCAAAGTCTACCCAGTTTTCAACTGAGGAACATTATTCTGAAACTATTTTAAACAGTTTTCCTGTGTCCATCTTTACCTTTGAGGGATTCAGCTTCACTAAAAAGCTCTTTTTATATCCATGCCTTACTGACCTGTTGCAAATTAGCCTAATTAGTTGCAAAATGTGCGAGTGAATCAATTCCTGGTTTATGAGATTTGCAAACCACTGCACTCCTCTGGCTTTATTTTACGCAACGTCCCAGCTTTTTCAGAATCAAGTTTGCGCATAATCAAACAATAAAAGCTCGTCAAATTATTCAGGAATTAGCGAYGTCTAGACGGATGGCATGGCGGACAAACACATCATCAGTCATGCTCACTTCCTAAGCAGTTTCTCAACCCGTTTATAATTTGTGACCCATCATATCAAAATGAAGATTAAGTCGAATTTGGACAAAATGACCGAATGACATTTTCAGATTCCTGGCTTTAAAAGCTACATTTTGATACTTAGATCATTCTGATATCATAAGTTTTTCGAGAGATATGACTTAATATGTTTTGTTGGTTACAATAATACATTTCTCTTTGGTGTGAATCCTAATTTTATGTAAATTTATTGAGTAATTTTTGATGTCAATGTAGAGAGGAAACCTCAAATATTATTAGTATATTAAGATACTGTATTGCAGTTGAAAAAAAAACATTGCTAGCTCACAGAGAAAAATTGAAAAAATATGCGTTTTTCCTCAAAATCAGTTTTTTGTTGCTAATGCTCAAAAATATGCTTCAAAAAGTGTTTTAGGATTATATTTTAGAATGCCTTGTAAATGTAAAATAGTCCTTGTAAACGTCGCTAATTCCTGAATAATTTGACGAGCTTTTATTGTTTGATTATGAGCAAACTTGATTCTGAAAACGTTGGGACGTTGCGTAAAATAAAGCCAGAGGAGTGCAGTGATTTGCAAATCTCATAAACCAGGAATTGATTCACTCGCACGTAAATGTCTAAATATAAATCCAACATTTACAAGGCATTAATTCATTATATTTTGACAAAATGCAACTTGTTTAAATCAAAACCCTGTATCTGCCCATTTTCCACATTCCACYTTTGGATTTAATCCTCGTTTCGACGTGATGGGTCACATTTATCCTCAGAGCAAAGCTAAATTAGGGTTAGCTCCGCTGTTAGCTGCAGAAATGAGGAAGTGTTTTTATGTTTTGTTTTGTTTTTACAGTACAACCTTTTCATAAAAAAACATATCTTGCATCTTATACTTTGCATAAATTAGACTATTTTTTTATAATCTTGGCTGATTCTAAGATATTTTAGAGACTTTTGAAATCAGTGCAGCTGCAGCGAGTTCAGTCTGCTGTGCTCTGTAAAAACCACCTCGTCATCTTCATTAGGGAATACATATTGTGTGTAGCAGAGGCTCCAGTTTCAGTTAGTGTGTGTCTGTAACTTTATCTCTAAGTGTGTTTCCATAGTGATCCTGATGGTTGAAGGTATTGCCCATTAACAGTATGAAAAAAAGAGGAGTTCTCTGTTCTGATTATATTCTCACTTTGTCTCTCTTCAGGTCCAAACATCACATCATTTTATTTCCCATGATCCACTTGTGCGGCCAGGAGGAGGCACATGGGCGGATCTGTCTGGTTTCCTGTGCAAGACTTGTCTGACCTGCTTTTCCATCTCACCTCTGTGTCTCCTGCTGACGAGGACGCTGGGAATCAGAATTAACCAAAGCAACGGAACGTCAGGATTTGGACTGTGAGCGGTTATTTTAAACACACCTATTTACAATTTATTAATTTTTTTCCCCTAATTTTAACGCTGGATTGCATCCTTTTTTTTAAATTTTATTTTGTTTTTGGCCCTTCCACATGTTGTTGATGAACATTACAGCTTCAGTTTTTTTGTTTTGCCTCTTCTGTTTTCTTGAAGAAACCCAGAACACAGAAAACGTGTGCTACTGAGACTTGTCTTAGACTAAAGCTGATGGAGTGATGATTGTGATGAGTGACTTGTCTTTATCCTGCTGGAAACCTGAGGAAAACACACACACACACACACACACACACACACACACAAAGTAACACCAAACGACTGTGACCTTATACGTGCATGAATGATCACAACCATAGAGCCCACACAAGTAGACAATCAGATACCCTGGTTTGAAATAGAGTAGGAAACAAAAGAAGAGGGGCTTTGATATATCTCACTGCCGGTGCCAGGTGGGCGGAGTTTCCTGATAAGGAATGCTTCAAAAGCAGCAGATAATTTTAAAGTTCACGTTTAGATTTTTAGTTTTTTTTTTTTGTAAAGAGCTTTATTGGTGGTCACTTGGATCAATGATACCTCAGTTTGTTTGGTGCTGACCATTTCGAAAAGTTTCTGGCGTACCTGAGTCCACACTGCCAGGTGTTTATTTTGTTTGTTTTGCATTAAAGGTCATTACAAGTAGACAGATAAAGTGTATTTACCTTTTTAGTTCCCTGAATCATTCTTTATCATCTTTTTTACACAAGATCGCCAAATTATCTTAAAGTGAAATCACCATAAAAGTCCTGAGCAAAGACACAACCCGACTAAAGAACTCCCATGAGAAAATCCATRAAATCCAATCAAACTAAAAAAAACAGAATTTGACACTGAAGATGTTTGCRTTCAAGTATATGTTGTTACTTTTAAAACTTTTTATTTATTTTGTATAAACACAGGTTCAAGCAGGATGGCTACGATATGGTTCCAACGCTTTTTTTTAAATAAAAGAACTTTGGCGGCATGTTTCGTTTACTTTTTTAAGTTTTTCGTTCTTCAATATATATGCTAGTAAAGAGCAGGCGACTAGAAATAATACGGTTTCTTTTTCTCATGAAGAGCTTTCGTCAAGCTCGACCGGCAGCCTGTCAACATGCTGCTGCTTTCATTTTGCACTTTTAGGCATCCAAATAGAAAATACACTCAGTCCCCGGTTAGTTTTAGTTGAAACAAATGAAAAGTTGTCTTTAACGAAGGTTAGAACTGTCCCCAGAATAAAAAAACAAATAAATTAATCACTCTTTGGTCACTGCTTTCTTCCTCCAGTATTAGCTCGAATAATCATATTTGAGAAAAACTGGGAATAATACACACTTAGTATTTCCAAACAAGTGTCCTGTTGTAATCTTTGCTGGCCTCCTAGGTATTTTTTTCTGTTCTATGTTTTGTCTTTACCGGCTTGTTAGTAGTTGAGGCCCCTCCCTGTTTTTTTTTTTTTTAATCATCCTGTCATCCCAGAAACGCAGGAGAGCGCAGAGCGAAGAGGAGGGCAAGGTTAAGTATGGCAGACAAGAATGAGCACGCAGGGCGGCGGTGATCAGCGTGTGAGCAGGAAGGYGTTTGAGATTTGGAGGGAAAAGTTCGATGAGCTTTTTTGAGACTAAATGATAAATTGGAGGTTAAAATGTACTTTTTTTTCTTGTGAAAATGAACACTTGTTATTTTGAAGTTCAGCTTTCAGCCGACTCAAACACCTCCTTTTGAGTATTCTGCCATCAGCCTCTTTTTTTTCCAACTCTAAGTGGTGTGTGTGATCTCAGACTTCAACGTGCACTGATGTCCAGTAAAAAAAAAAAATAATAAAATAAAATAAAAGGAGAAAAAAGTATTTATTTGTTTAGTTAAAAATAACATTATAAAAACTGGAGCTGAAGATCATAAAGCTTGTCAGCAGATCACACATTCAGAGGAGTTTTTATTTTTTTTCTTCAGTTTTCAYGCAAAAATCAAGCTGAATCTTTAAATGTCGAAAATATATTGAAGTCTTTATTTTGGGATGATATAAAGCACAGAATGTATTAATAACAACGTGTAGATATGTGATTGTGTTGTCCTAAATGAGACGTGTTCATATATTTTTAACACAAGAGAAACTGCCCTGATTGTAAATATAGTGATACACAGCTTACATTTATTGTTGTTTTTTAATGATACATGYGGGGTTTAATTTTTTTGTTATGAATGATTACTTTCAGAAATGTTTATTAATGTTTACAGATTTTTATGTTTTGTTAAAATTTGTGTAAAACTGATAAAAGTTCAAATCTGCCAGCTGRAATCCATCTCATTACAGCCATGTACTGTAAGCCTATTTTCTGCTAATTTTGAATGTTCATTGCATTTTTTTTTCTGTCCCATATGTTACGGCTGAGACTTTATTTTACGCAGTTTTAAACACAATGAGGCTCTGTGTGTCTGTTCAAACCGTCCAATCACAGCGTTCGCTTGTGTGCGCATGTCAGAGTGACCTAACACAGGAGGAGTGTTATGTGTTCCCACTTGTCATGCCTGGATGTCTTTTTGACACATTTTAAACACACTCMGGTGAAACTATCTGTCTTAACAAGTTGCCTTGCTTCAGCTTGAGCCTGAAACTTSTCAGAAATAAAATCCAAAGAAACGATCAGTTCCAGTGGAAGTGAAGTTATTTTGCTTCATGCTGATCAGACTGTGCATTTGTTGTTTTTGTCTTTATGATTAAACTCTTGGCTGTTTTGACTAAAGCTTTAAAGTGTCGCTCAGGTGTTTTTGTGTGGTTCAAAGGATGTTCAAATATTTTGTACGTATAGCTCTGAAACAAACTTAGACCACTCCCATTTTTTTCAGATTTTTCTCAGATTTTATTTATAAGTGTGTTTGACCAAAATGAACATTTTTGTTTTTAATCTATTATCCACTTCCATCCGTATTTCAAATAAAAATCATGTATTTTGAGCATTTATTTGA